GCTTCTCAATTTTAATATTTCTAAAACGTTCATTCAAAAGTCCAATGTTAATTGCAGACTCAAATTTGAGTTTTGATAATGGTTTCCACTCGGCCGATGTGAGGTATATTACAGTTGTCGAAGCATAAGGAATAAAGAATAGTAATGCGTACATCTATGGGATTGTAGCCATAGCGGTAAATAATAAGTAATTTTGTACACAAACGTAGATATACCCAACCATTTTTCCATTAGTCAGCTTCTCAATTTTAATATTTCTAAAACGTTCATTCAAAAGTCCAATGTTAATTGCAGACTAAATTTGAGTTTTGATAATGGTTTCCACTGGCCGATGTGAGGTATTACAGTTGTCGAAGCATAAGGAATAAAGAATAGTAATGCGTACATCTATGGGATTGTAGCCATAGCGGTAAATAATAAGTAATTTTGTACACAAACGTAGATATATAATATAATATAATATAATACAGTAGTATATAGTAATTTTATACATAACCTAAATGCAAATGCGTTGGTATTCCTGAGAACTACACGCAGCATCATAATCCAGGTATTTTACGCTATAATTATTACCATGTAGCTGTAATTATTGTTATTATTATTGTGCTGCAACCACAATACTTCGCAGCGAGAATGAACCTCGAAATAAATTTTAATAAAATGTATCATCAATTATCATCATTACAGGCCTTTGCTTAACATAGGCCTGCTCCTAGTAACGCCTCAAAAACAATCCTGAGCCACCTGCATCCATCGACTTTCTGCATATCCCATTAGGTCATTACTCCATCAAGTGGAAAATCGCCCTAAGTGTTGCTTACCTGTACAAGACTGATTAAATATATATAATGTAAATATAATATAAAATGTTAGTAAATATATATTATTACTCGTAAATACAAAAATAACCCTTCATAACAGCAATAAATGGCACGGCAATAGCAAATTATACAAAGCTCGTCTTCACTGATACTAAATAGTTGAGAGCGCATACCTGGAATTGCGATAATTATTAATTAATAGACTAACTCAGCTAAATTAATGCAACGTTATTATGAAATAGGTCTTGAGATACGCCATAATGTATTAATGTAATGATTTCAACAATAATTTTGCTTATATATCCAATAACCTGGAACTGTATCAATATAATAACTTATTGAATTAATATTTGCAGTAAAAATTAATAAAATAAGTTATTATTTAAATACTAAGGTATGTATTAAGCAATGTTATAATCATTGCTTACATATTTATAAACTTATTCTAGTTCTTGAACTAAAGTAACCACTATAGTCCAGTAAACTAAACCGACATTGAGCCAGCCATTTGACTTGAAGAAATAACAGCCGATGGGAAAGAAATGTTGTTGAGGGGTATGAGAGTATGAGAGGCCGGCAAAATGTACAGCGCCCACTAAATTGATTTTAATTACTTTTGACCTTATGACGGAGGGAGAGAGCTATGTTTAGCATGACCTTGTGATTTATACCTATGACAAGGAGGTACTAAAGGACTTCATAAATAAGAGAAGACTGCCTTCCTAATTGAAATGTTTACAGACTGTTACTTAACCCCGTGTCACTAACCATTCGTCAAAATGACGACGCGTACTTTACGTATTTAGTGTTTCGGTAAGATCCTGAATCCCGCCAACCTGCCCGTTTCCAATACCTTCCTCATTCGCATCGCTAGTGACCCGCAATCACACATTGTGGCTGCACACTTATTAGATCGGTATATGTCGTGTGATCATCGTAAAATTTACGAAAGGTTAGTATCTACGTAACTTTTTTTTTCAAAGTTGTGCATTTATTTTTTGTCAACTATTTTCAATAATTACTATTAGAACACATTATTTTTGTGCAAAAATTACTATATTTATAATATATTTCAATGTTATTTGCAATTTTGTATTATTTTGTTGTTTTATTTTAAATTTGAAATATATTTAGTTTTTGTTTTTTATATTTTTAGATATGAGAAGTCTAGATGAAAAAATTGTACAATGGTCAGTTGATTCGGAAACGGAGTCAATCACCGATAATCAATCACATTCTTCGGCATCCGAGGATGGCAATCATGTAGAGGACTGCAGGAAATGGTGCAAACCAGTTTCTGACCAGTTATTCGTCCACATAACCGTGGACTAATAACTGGTCGGATTTAGAGAACGCTGTCCCTTTCGCATGTACATGCCTAATAAGCCCAAAAAATATGGATTGAAGCTTGTGATGATGGCTGATTCTAGTACAAAATACATATGCAATGCTTTGCCTTATATGAGGAAAAACACGTACACAGGTAATGAACCTATAGCAAATTATTTTGTGAAGGAGCTATCTAAGCCGTACCATGGGTCGAATCGGAATATAACCATGGATAATTTGCTCACATCGGTTCCTCTGGCCGCTGAACTGTTGAAACTGCTGTATAAGCTCACAGTAGTAGGTACTCTACGAAGCAATAAGCAAGTGATTCCTAATGAAATGAAGAATTCTAGAAATAGACAAGTAGGTACTTCGATGTTCGGTTTCTATAAAGAAATTACTTTGGTATCATATAAACCGAAGTCAAATAAGGTCGTTTACCTTATTTCTGTTATATATGATCAACCTGCAATCAATATCAATTCTAAAAAAACCTGAAGTTATTGAATTCTATAATTCCACAAAGGGTGCGGTTGATACTGTAGACCAGATGTGCTCCATCATGCCTACCAGCCTTAAGACCAATCGGTGGCCACTGTGCTTGTTCTACGATATTCTAAATCTATCTATAGTGAATTCTTATGCCATTCACGTTTCTAATGTGATCCGAAATGGAAAAAACCTTGAAAAGATGGCCTTTTGGATTAGAAATGGCAGAAGAATTGATGAACCCTTGGCTGAAAGAGAGATATCAGAATGTAAATTTGCAATAAAATTTGAAGCTTATCATCGCGGAGATCCTAAAAATTCGTGATAATCAGGAAGGTTCTAGTCAAGACTACTGTCATGCAGAGAAACGTCGTACGACCACTAACTTTTGTAGGGGCTGCAAAAAAGCAATTTGCAGGGAGCATATTGTTTCCATGTGCAATCATTGTTCAGTGTAGCTTATTTCCAAAACAGACTGTGTTATTTGATTAAGATTAAACTAAGACTGCTAATAAAGGTCGTGTTATAAATAAAGTTGATTATATAAATAATTATTGATGTTTTAATCCGTCGTAAAAGTTACGAATGGTTAGTGATAACGTTACTTGAAATTAACGTTAGTGAGCGAGGGTTAATTAAAACGTATCGGGTGTGGAAGAACCACTTAATTGCATATAGCAAATTATGTTACGATAAAAATAAAAAGTATAAGGAAGCTTTGGAACTTGTTGCGAGACTTCTTTAGAGTGTGTACGTGTTCATGGCAATGTCCTATCAACGAGTCCTAAAGCTTCATTTTTGTGAATAGGGATTAAATAATTCAGCCAAAGCTTAACACAAAACTTCTTAGATCGTGTCATTCTCTTTTGTACGCTTTTCAAATATAGGTATACCGTTTACTTTTCAAAAAGACCTTGCTCCTACCAGAAGCAACAAGGTTAAGATACGATTAACTCTAACTAATCGAGGATGAATTTAGGTGTCTATAGGCCGCAGTATCCTTTTATAATCGGGTGGACTGTGTGTTCGTTTGTCACCCTTATTCTATAAAAAAACAAAAAATTTTGAAAGCAATCACACCAGAATTATTGTGTATAAACGGGCATTGTGCTTCACATTTTTAACTAGATCTGTTACAAAAAATATCGAAATATGCGTCTAGATGATAAAATATAGTTATTATACTGAAAATATTTAAATAAAAAACACCTAGTTAGTTTACGAACAAGTAATTAAATTTTATCGTAGTCAAGGTAGAATATGTGTCTTGTATAAATATTTACGATATTTTAAACGGCAAAACATCGTATACTTATTTAAATAAATCGTATCGTATACTAAAGTATATTAAAGCAATATTAATATTTACTATATGTGCAGAAATAATTAAAATTAAAATAAGGAATGCTTATATGATTAACCCAGCGTCATTGTGGTAGAAAATTGTAACACGGACGTTGAGGTGGCTCAATATGACCCGTATATGTAAAATGTGATATTTCCGTATTTATTTAATTTTTCGGTAATATATATTACTATAATATGACCTATTTATACTCTAAAGTTATAAATAAAAGAATAAACTTTATAGTTATCAAATGTTTATTCTAGGTTTTTAAGCTTTTCCATAAACTCACAAAAACGTTAACAAAATTGAGATCCCTTACAGTTTCATCACTTATCTAACAAATTATCAGTCTTTTTGGTTACAAATGACACTTAGAATATATCCCACTAATAATTCTTTGAAAAAATATGTATAAAAAAGTTAATTTGAATCGTCATTGTTAACACAATCACTGAAGAAAGATACGCTGTGCTGGGGACAAATATATTTGTTGCAACTTTGACAGGTATGCGTTGTTTTACGGTCTTTTTGTGCAGGTCACACTTTACATCTTCTACGAGCAGTAGGTATCTTTGCATGAGACTCTTTTGATGATTCACCTACAATTTTTTTAATTATTTTACGCATTTGACGTGGCAAATGATCTAAATTCTGGCTCTTTTTAAAGTGATCGCTCACTAGAGCCAGACCCATGCCAAGAAATGTCGTCGCTTTTCTTCAGGTTTATTATTATTTATTCGGTGTATTATAGTACCGTTAATCCCAGACATATAAAATATATCATAAAATATGGTAAGGGGCCATCTCTTGAAATTACGGTTCACGTTATATGTTGCACAGAGATCATTGGAGACATTCACTCCAAACTCAGAAGTAGCACACTTAGCTTCTCGTGTCACACCTGGCAACTGTGTGATTATATTTTCTGCCCTCGTCCTCACATTGTACGGAAAAGGTGTTTTAAACCAAACTGTCCCATCCTTACCAAGATATTGAAGACGTACCTCACACCATTAAGAGCTTTCAGGCTCTTGTTGCGACGAAGACGCGCTGGATTGCAACTCCATTCTAATTTCACTCAGCGGGACATTATCGTCATCACTTTCTGAGCTTTCTTGTTCCGTATCGATTGACTGACTACTAACATTCACGTGATTCTCTTCATCCACGTCATCGTTAACAGACAAGTTTTTGTATAAGTTAGATGCCTCAAGAATTGACATTGAAAATTAACATAAAACACAAAAAGTTACTCAATTTATTACCGTGAAACAAAATTTATTAATAAAAAATCTAAAGTTAAAAGAGGCGCGAAACTGTTACGTCAATTGTGAGGATGGGTCATATTTACCTTTTAGAGAATTATGCACGTGTAGCTCCCAACGCGGCTGTCACCCTACTGATTTCTGTTTAAAAACACATAGAACATATAGTTGACGCCAGTTACTGAGAAGAACGACAAAGTCGCACGCGTACTTACAAAAAAATATGCATTTTAAAACACGCAGGGTCATTTCGACCCAATCTCAATGATGTCGGGTTAAAACAAGCTTTAATTTTACTCTGGTAGCCCAAATGGGTCGGTTCGACCAAGTAAGGGCAGCATAAAATTACGTACGTAATAAAAATAAAGTTAAAAAAAGTAATTAAAGGAATTAATGATGAACAGTAGTTAGCTCAGTGAAGATAGTAAAATACGAGGGTCATAGTTATTAATTCATTAATTGTTATCGATTCTTAATACTTGTGTAGTATTGCAGATTATTTAGACATCCGGGAGAGGGAGAGAAGGAATCTAAAATGATTTCATTTTATGCGTAGGGCTGTTGTGTTTCCTATATTGAGCGTAGAGCGTGACCCTTTTCATAGATAACGAAGCTTTTCATTTTAGTTTGAAGGGTACCATCACATCTGAGATTTCACTTTAACTTTTAATCAAAAATTGATGTAGGTATCTATAAGGTAATATAACTTTATTTATTTAAAGTTTGTTGCAGATATCTATGGGCTGCTTACCATGAAATTGAATTTAAGTTTGTTTGTTATTTCAATTCTATAAAATAAACATTTTCTTGTCATTTTCTTGTTTTTGGAAGTTGATAGTATAACTGTGTTCTCCCAAATGTTATTTTATCCATAGTTTGTTCTTACGACAGGTAACACAAAATTGCTGGCTCAGCGGGTTATATATTTATTTATTTGACTTCTTGTTGTGAATGTTATGTGTGAGTGAATAAGCTTGTGAGTTATCTTCTAGATAAGTAGACATGTATTATGCGTAAAAAATTGTTTAATATTTAAAAAAAAATGTATTTTTGTAGATCGTTTTCAATTTCTTTATATGTATTATTATGACAATTTATTAATATTTAAAGTATTACTAAATAAAAGTAATCCTCCTTTCATAAGACTTCACATTCGATAAAATTCCACTACTAAATATGAACCTCTCCTACAGTAGGAAGGACTTACCACTTTCGTCACGCATGGCAGATTGATTGGCGATCGCAATACTAGACGTTTTAAACCTTTAAATCTAATCCCGTTACCAGTAGTTATGTTTATATCAGGCAAAAAGAGTATAGCCGTAATATGTAGGAAACTTTTTCTGGCTTTCTTATAGTCACCTCGTATGGTGGTAGTTTGGATATTTTTTACAGTCATACATATGACATAGTAACTCACCAGCTATTGGATGCTACAAAATTTTCAGAGTACTTTAGTCTACTTTAAGACAACCATGTAATGTAAAATTTGGTGATAAATTTCTTGTGCCGCCACCACATTGACACCAGTTGCAATTATTAAAATTGTTAAAATAAATTATCTCAAAAAACTGAGTTCACTCTAAGGTAAATAAAGTTTTAAATGTATATTAATATAATTACAAGAGTTTCAACTTCAAACTCGTCTCATACACGTGCGTTACATTTATTTTCGCGCTATGCAAAACAAGAAAATTTAATTAGCGTTGTTAATTACGAATTACGAACATAACTTGGTAATTAAACCATCGTTTCTCGTGTAATTAATGTTATTATATTAAAGACGAGCTCTTTAATGGTTTTATAATTTACAGATGTTAACTGAAGCACGAGTAGAATTTACTTTTCAATGAATTACAGTCGTGTAGTTTCTTTCTTAACTTCCCGCTAAGAAAATAAAAAAATCCAAAAATAGGGAAGTTATTGGTTTCACCCCGATTTTCGAAAATCGAGTTTTCATCAGATCTCGATGTTTTGAGATGTTTTGATTAATTTCACGTGGACGTCCGTACGGATGCATATATGTATGTGTGTGTGTGTGTGTGTAAGTATGTAAACCTTTCATAACTTTTGAACGTCCTAATCGATTCAGATGCGGTTTGCGGCATTCTAAAAACCATAATGTGGAATAGATTTGGTGATAATATGAACTGTTTCGGACTAGTAATTTTGAGAAATCTCAAAAATAAAAATTTTGGAAAACGGTTTTTTTCGAATAATTTTTAAACGGCTTCACCGATAGATTTCAAAATTTAATCAGCTCTTAAACTTAAAAAAATTACGTCAAATTTCGTTTAGAAAATAAAAATCAGTTCATTCGTTCGTGAGATATCGAAGGAGAAAGAATTAAAAAAAAAACGTTTTTTTTAACATAACTTCGAGATTTCGCAAAATAATTTGGTAAAATTTGGAGCGCTTTGCATTTGAAATTAGCGGGACGTTTGGCCTGCAGGGTCATCGAATTTCTTTTTACTTAAACATGACTACTATAATTTAATCTCAACAACAGTTTTTTTCAAAGACTCGTCGAAAAACTACGAGCTCAGAGATGAAGACAGCTGTATGCCTAAGAAATTATAAAAAAATTCAAGTAAAGTACGTGTTGATTAAAGTAAATCCTTTGTACGGCACAGGCCCATGTCAACAGATGGAGTGTTAGGGATAGATTTCGATTCTTTTGAGGTGAAAATTTTAGGCATGTTGGAAATTTTTGGGATAGGGAAAAGCACTGAACTCGCGTGACCGTTACGCTCAGTAATATGTAGACAGATGTATTGGTTTTCCCGAAACTCAACGTCAAGTGAGTACGAGACAATAAGCTAGTTTGTACCAGTTCCAGCAAAAAAAATCATGTTACTTGGTTAAGTGATTTGGATCGACCGGGGAAGGACTACACACGTATAGAATTACAGCGTCCGGTAACGTATGGTAAGAAACGGGAGTTAATAACATTTTTACTTGTAACATATAAGCGACAGTAGCCTAATGGCAGGGCGCGGACTGCGAACTCAAAAAGGTCGTGGGTTCGAATCCGCCATTCATCAACTGGCGTGAACCACTCACAAGCAATTTAAGCTTACCACGAGTGTGTTATGTGGCAGAGACAAAAACTCTTTTAAAAATAAATTTATTTAATATATTTAACTATAATACAAACTAACTTAAAATATAGAAGTTGAGTCAGAGAGTTTGGAAATAGAATTGTGTTGTGGGATCGAAGGACTTGGTTTATATAGTGTAGGATCGTGGGAAGCTAGGAGGTAGCGGTAAAGATAAGGGAATAACATTATGCTTGTTTGTGTTAATCGTTAACTTATTCTAAGATACAATTAAGAATGGTAAACTTTGGAACAGTAAACATTAGTATTTAAATATTACAATCTAATTAGTTTGGTTTCTAGGTAAACAATGTAATTTAGTTTTAAAGTAAATAAGTAATATAAGAATAACAGTATAGGAGTATAGAGGACTTATAATATAAAGTAAATAGTATGTAACACAATAATAGAACCTATAAAATAACACCTCCCCCCTTAGAACAAAGATTGAGCGGTTTTGCTCGATTTTTGAATGTAGTCAGCAGCTTCGTCTTCGTCTTCTGATATGCAGGATGTTGTAGCAGTGGTGTTTATCGATGACATGGGAACTTCGACGTGTTGTTGATGACGAGAACGGTCAAAGCAGTTATTAAAAATTTGTATGCAGTTGCCATGTGGATTTATGGGCATGTTATTCCATGGCAAGCACTTGTAACATTTGTAACAAAAATATGTTAGCATAATGATGCCAGTAATCATACCAAATATGGAAAAGTGTGTTGCATGTTTTCTGAGAAGGTAGATTTATTTTCTTTAAGTAATTTTGAATGTATTTTTATTTGGTCTCTAACCGAGTTAAGAGAGTCGAGTTGGATGTTGTTGAGCTGGATTGGTGCAAGTTCTGGTTGTTGTAGTTTAATTTCTTCTGGGAGGCAAATGTGTTCAATATCCACAGAAGTAAAAGGATGACTGATGTTGATCATTTTAGTGTCTTCAGCTAGGAGTGTAACAAACGCGGTGTACATTTTACATCCTTGTTCTAGAGTGATGATACCTGCTCCAGAGATTTCGCCGTGAGTTGTTTTGCTTTCGCACTCTAAAGCATACGGAGTCTTGCGTTGGAGTATGTAGATCCAGTTGTTGTTTCTAAGAGCTTGAAAAGTATTGATATGTGCTGAAAATGTAGTGATATCACAAACTTCAGGAACTTGTCGACTCGTTGTTGTTAGGATGACAATTTCGCATATAGGTCTGGTGTTGATGTTGTAGATGAGAAGATCCCTGCAGACTTTGGATTCCGTTGCAAAGTCTTTGCATTTGTCCAGTGAGCTCATAACGACGTATTGCTGTCTAGTGGTACTCATGGCAAGGTATGTTTGTTCGGGAAGGATAGTGGAATATAAGGAGGAGTCAGGATGTAGCATAGGGATAGAATATAAATGGTATAATATAAATTTTTCGTTTTTAACTAAAGGGAATTCTAAGAATATATATAATTTTATTCATATAAATATAGGAAGTAATAGAGGCACATTCGAGAATTTTGTGTATATTAGGTAATGTTACTGGGGCAATTAAGTTTTTGTTGAGCCTAGCGGGATTAGAAGACAGTAATTCTTTGTATAGGCGCATAGTTGATATTATTGACGGGTGTATTGCATTCGATTTAATAAAAAGTATAATTTTGGTGACATCGTCAATATCTCGTTCTAAAGAAACTGAATTGTAACGGTTGATATTTCTATGGCAGGATTGAAAGATGACCTTATCACAAAAATTGATAGGGGCGTACTCCAATGGTTTGGGCACGTTGAACGAATGAGTGAAGACCGAATGGTGAAGAAAATATCGTCGCCTTGGAGGGCAATGGAGCTAACCCACAATTTTTGCGAAATGGAGTTAAGTGCATTAACGTACTGA